TGTATTATGAGATTCCTGGCTCTTGCTGTTCTCATGGTTCTATGGGATAAATAACCTGGAATATCTGGGTTTTTTAACCCTCAAAACATGTTACTTAGGGCTCCTTCACCTATATATATAGAGCTCTAGCAGAGACATCACCTCTGAGGACGTAGAGCAAATTCGAGTGTCACAAAAAAACAAAAAAACAAAAACAAAAACACCATTAACAAGGATTCATGAGTCTGAGAGTTAAACCCAAGAATAACTGCTCTTTATCCTGCCCTTATCACTCTGTCTTCAGAACTGTCTCCTACAGGAATATTCTACTCCAAGAGAAGAATCTATTTCAGGTTGTCTTCTTGACTCTGACACCTGGTAAGTGTTCCTGATAATCTCATACCCTTTAATAAATTTATGGTCTTATAAATGTCATATATATATATTTCATTTGTGTTACAAATAATTTGCTCTATTTCCTTTAATTTTACTCTTTTCCCCCCCTTTATTTTTACTCTATATCCTCTTCTAGATTATGAACTTCACAAAGGCTGGACTCCTGTTTTTTCTTTTTCTCACTATACCCAATATTCAAGTTCTGTGAATGATCCAAAGACCAGTAATGCCCTGACATTACATAAACTTGGATTCATGCTGAGCCTTTTTACCTCCTTGTTGGGTATCCTAGGGAAAGTTGCTTCAGTTCTCTGAACCTTATTTCTTTGTTCATAAGATGAAGACAAGCCTACAGAGTTGCTGTGAATCTTGTAAATAATACCGGAAAGCCCTTAACACATAAAAAGCCTTCAATAAAAGGTCACTATCAGTGTTTCTCTACTTTTAAGTTTTCTGTTACGATTATTAGCACCATGGTGGCCATCAACTCTGACCTATCCCTAGGTATTGACTCAGATTCCCAAGAACCAAAGAAAAACACAGGAAAGAAGAAAGATAGACAAATCCACCGAAGTGTGGAGAGAGCAGAAAGCTTTCTCTAAGTCAAAATCAGCAAACACAGAACTCTAATTGTATTTCATGATCCCGAAAGGCCCGGCAGGCTTCCTCCTGCTGATGAAAAAGAACACTGGTGAGATGGTGCCACCTAGTGGTCATTTTCTAATACTACAGGCGGCGATGATGTAACCGGGGGAAATAATTGCGGGAGGAGCCTCCAAGAAGTCTTTATTCCTTCTTGTCTTTACTGAGAAGGTGGGAACGCACTGCTTGCGCCCACACCTTTCTCTCCTCTCACCCACCCTGAATAAGGCGGTGAACAGTAGCCACAGATCTATTCAACCGCACTTGACTGTTTTGCTTGTTTCTTCTACATTAATTGATCCTCTCCGTGCTCACAAATCAGCTCAATAGCAACTTGTCAGCAATTAACCGACATTAATCACAAAGTAACAAAAGATGATGGGTGAATTTTTTGATATTTGCAAGTTAAACTGAGACCTTGTTCTCCATTCAGAATTGTTTTTCTCACCTCAAAAGAAGAAAATGTTCATCATTAATGAAAGTCTAAAGAAAAATATTTTATCTGATAGTGCCGCCAGCAACCACTTATCCACGATCATTATCTTTCACATATAATGATATTGAGGAGTCCTACAGTGCTCCGCAGACATTCAGTCCTGAATCCCTGGGACAGAGGCAAAGAGCAGATTCAATTATCCCTTTTTCATTCATTCACTTGTTTATAGTACAATCTATGAAGACAAGCTAATTCCGCTAATGAAATAGCCCGTGTACAAAGCAGCATATTCTTCAACCTCGAGGAAATGTTGTTTCATAGCTTAGAATTTTAGAATTAGAAGGCACTTTAAAAATTCGACGGTCCAACTCCTTTTAGAGATGACCTTCTGTTTCTCTAACGCCTATTACGTGATTTTGTGTTTTAACCTTGATTGCTGTGTTAGGCTTTGCTACGCAGCCCTCTGGCTCTATTAACAAGTGGATCTGTAAAACACCTTCTACAGCGTGCCATTTATTGGGGGAGAGGGGGCCTGGGAGGGAACTGGAAACAGCTGAAGGCACGTCCGGGCCCACTGCCGCTCCTGTTCGATAGGCGGTTCCCACGCTCCTCTGAAGAGAGAAGAGGAAGCCACAGAAAGAGCAGAACAGATGTGGCTGCTGCCGAGGCTCTGGTGGTCAACTGGGCCGTGGTCTCGGAGACGGGAAGGACCTCCCGGCAGCTGGACAGCTTGCCCCCCAGCTCCCTGCCACCCCGCCTCACCTGGGCACCCCAGAAGAGGGGCACAGGTGTCTTCCAATCCTGAATACTCTCACTTTACGCAAAAGCTGGAGACCTTGGACCAACGGCATCTCTTTCTGGTAGACGTTGGGACCCATCTCCCAAGGGGATTGGTTTTGTTCATCAAATTAACATTTTAAGCTCCTGATTCGTGTCACTCTACCAACACCTTTGGGCAAGGTGATTCTAGCCCCGAATGGGTCGCCCTTCTACACCCCCTCCCACCACCGTTTCCTCATCACCATGTCTAGCGGGACGTCATGCTAGGTTTTAGGTTCTGAGGGTAAGAGATGGATCAGACAGTGTCTACCCTTAAGAATCTTTCTGTCTAGTATCCCCACCATGATAAAGCTAACTGAGAAATACTCCATGAGCTCAGATATGTTCCTCTTAAGTTAAAGAATTGTTAAGTTGGAGCCTGTTCCATAGGATAAGGATGGGATGATAGAGCCGCTAAAGATTCCTGTACAATTATGAAAATATTTAGTCACTGAAGATGGACATCTGTGTTCTCGAAAGATTTGAGGGCTTACCAGAAAACTGATGTAAGGAATTATTTACTCAGATAATGTAAAACAAAACAAAACGGGAACGTTGTCTTTATACATGTAGAAATCTCCCGCTCTGTAATCCAGATGCCACAGGCAAGACAAGGGGCAAAATACCACAAAACCCCAATCTCTTTGTCTTGAAAAACATCCTTTTGTAACGTTCCTTCCCTCCCAGACTTACTCTTCCGCATTAATAATCTGTGAGCTGAGTTGCTCTGCTTTAGCCTGGTTACCTAAATGATCAAAACCTTCCTCCAACTCCCCGTATCTGTCCAGAGTCTCCGTCAGGGCCAAGCTCAGGAGCTCTGCTACGCCACTTAAAACAAGAGGGGTTACCTCGGAAACTTGTTTATTTGCTTACTCATTTTAATATAAACATAACACCAGTTTTCTGCCACTGATAATTCATCAACGATATAAGGGATGTGATTGTCAGCATTTTCTTTTAGGCCACTGTGGCTTCTTCACTTCAGCACTGGTGACATTTTGTGCCAGACAGTTCTTTGTTGCGGGAGGCTGTTGCGTGCTTGGAGGAGTTTTAGCAGCAGTCCCGGCCTCTGCCCGCTAGACGCGACCCCCACTTTCTGACAACCAAAAATGTCTCCAAACATTGCCAAGTGTTCCCTTGGGGCAATTTCACCCTGAGGTTGAGAACCACTGATATACATCAACTATTAACTTTTTTTAATCTGTAAAGATACAGCAGGCAGAAGCAGTATGTCTTCCTTGAATATCTTAAGCGGGGGGGGGAAGAACTTGGATTTTGGTGTCTCTACTCTTTTCAGTCAGTTCCTAAAGCATACTTATGATTATTTTCAGGGCAAATTTTCTCAACTGATCCATTGCTATCTATTCTCTTCCCCAATTCTTTACCTAAATAACAGTTTACAAACACGATTTCTTTCTTTTTTTTTTTTTTTTAATTTATTTGACAGAGAGAGAGAAAGTGAACGCGTGAGCGAGCACAAGCAGGGGGAGAGGCAGAGGGAGGGGGGAGAAGGAGAAGCAAGCTCTCGGCTGAGCAGGGACTCCAACGCAGGACTCGATCCCAGGACCCCGGGATCATGACCTGAGCCGAAGGCAGATGCTTAACTGCCTGAGCCCCCCGGGCGCCCCCACAAACTCTATTCCATGCATAGAATCTCATTTCCTGTTCACAACGGTAGGAAGCAGGTACTAATAGCCAGCTGGCTGGGGAGCAGCAGGATGTCCCGGGAAGAAAGATCTGGAAGCAGACAGTCCAGAGCTACAATTCTGTCACCACGGTTTCCTGGCTACAAAACAATTAGGCCAGTTCTTCAGCTTCTGGGCAAAATGGTTTTCTTACCTGAAATGCGGGAATGTTAATACCTCGGAGGGAGGCTGGGAGGATTAAGATGAGGCGAGCTCGGCGACAACGCAGGTCGCTAGCGGAGGCATGACCCGCCGCAGCTTTTGTTTCACTACAACACCAAGACCAAAGCGTCACGTACTGCTGCGCACCAAAGCAACTTTCTCATTCTGGTCTCAGATCTCTGTAAGGATCTGATCCACAGAAAAATCCTCAGCAGTAACCCAATTTGTAGACAATTTCAGGATAGTCACAGATTCACCTGAAGTGCAGAGCGAGCCCCAACGGAAGAGTCCCTCTGGCAAGAGCCTACTAATTTCATCTTTTCTTCTAATGCACTGGAGTCAATGGTGCTGAAGAGTTTTCCCTGCCCATTGCTTAAAATGGGCAACCCTTCTGCAGAGACAAATTGATTCCTCTTCCCCCCCCCCGCTAAAAAAGTGCAAAAGGGTAATTGGTAAAAAGGGGTCCAGGTCATCCAGTATGATTAGTTACTCTATTAGTTTCCTATTGCTGCTATAACACATTACCACAAACTTAGAACACTCTTGATCCAACACAAATGTATTATCTAGCAGCTCTGGAGGTCAGAAGTCTAAAGCAGGTCTCACGGGGCTAACATAAAGGTGTTGGCCAGGCTGCATTCTTTTCTGGAGGTTTGAGAGGAAAACCCAATTTTCTTGCCTCTTCTACCTTGTGGAGATTGCCCGTGTTCCTTGGCCTCTCTCTCATGACCTCTCTCCATCGTCAAAGCCAGCAATGGCCAGTTGAATCTTTCCAACATGGCATCCCTCTCATACTTAATCTTCTGTCTCTCCCTTCCACGTTCAAGGACCCTGGTGATTACATTTGGCCCATCTAGATAATCCAATATAATCTCCCTATTTTAAATCTAGCTGGTTAGCAAACTGAATTCCGTCTGTTGCAGTCCCCTTTGCCACGTAATACAACATATTCACAGGCTCTGGAGATTAGCAAACAGACATCCTTGGGAGGCCATTATTCTATGTACTGTATAGTCACTTTCTTGGTATTTTTGATGACAAGCAAGGAATAAGCCCTGTTACAAGTCCTGATCCATCTTTGGAGTTTAGAAAAGCAACAGTTGACAGTATTTTTTGAATTGTCATAACAACTTATTATTGGATAATAAAGTCCCTTCAAAAATCATTATCATCTCAATTGGGACTCTCAGAAACTACATCTACACAATTCATAATTTCTCATTGACTTAATGTCTTTTAACTCCCGATAACTTAGGCAACTGGAGAAATTCTTTACAGCTCACTACACAAAGGAAAGAGAACTCACATGTATTTTGTAAAGCAAGTTGCAAATACAAGTAGAGCTACCCATGAAGACTAAATAAAACTTGCATAAATGAGGAAATCAAGGCACCGTTGGCGAAAGAAGGGGACAAGGCCACTCAGAAAGAAACACTACAGGTTGCACCACACATTCACCATCTGGCTTGCAGTCCCATCTCTAGAATGTTCTCTGTTATATCCTTCTGCAAATCAAACGTCCTCAAATCAAACCAAACGTCCTTGGTTTTTGTTTTCCTCCAGGGGACCTGACTACTTGGTCTCTGATCCTTCCTTCATTTAGCACTGCCTAACACCATAAAAATGGCTTCTAGTCCATCATCCTAACCATTTTTAATACATGCCCCACTGTCCTTGGCATTCATTTGGTGCTTAGTCATATTTTCTCCTGCTGTCCCACTCTCCAAAACAATTATTTTATACCTTCACTCTCCATAACCATCCAATGCCTCCTTCTCCATTCACAAATACCGTGGTGGTTTCCTTTCCTTCTGGAAACGTGGTAAGATTGCACTCCATAGCCCCACTCTCAAGTTAGATATGGTGATAGTGCTTCTTTTGGCCAATGATAGGTAGAAGGGTGGTATATCACTTCCAAGGACAGGCTTTAGGAGGCAGATGCCTCCCCCCGCCCCCCCCCCCCCCGCCCCGCCGAGGAGCACAGAGCGCCCCCTAGCTTCCTGGTGAGTTACAGCAGCATCCCTGGGCTCATCAGCAGTAGATACCTAGCAAGGGAGAAACAAGCCTTTAATGTGATAAACTGCTACAATACAGAAGCTGCTTGTTACTACAACATAACCTAGTCTAGACTTTGCTTCCTATTTCAGTGAGAAAAACAGAAGCAATCAGAAGAGAACCCTACAATCTCCTGCGACCACATCTGCCATTAATTAGTCACTATATATTTTCTTTCCTCCTGTACTATGGATGGATTCTCCATATTCCTAAAATTAATCTTTCAACTTGTACACTGGATTGCATCCTCTTTTATCTGCTCAAGGCCACCATTCTTGCATTTATCTCTTTTGTCTCTTACATCATCAATTTTTCACTCACTACTAGATTACCTCTATCAGTAAATAAGCATACTATAACGTCTTCTTTCTTAAAAACAAAACAAAAAACAACAACAGTAAAAACACCTCTTCTCTAGTAGCTCAACTCTATTTGAAATGGGTCGCAATACTCACTCCTGTTTTCTCTGGAACGATTTCCAGTTAGGATTCTGCTTGCCCCTCTACATTGAAACTGCTCTTGTCACCACCACGAATGACACCGAATTTGCTAAATCCAGTAATCAAATCTCAATCCTATCCAACATAACATTGACTTGGTTGACCACTGTTTTTTGGGGGAGGTAAATTAATCCTCAGAGTTGAGTTTGTCTGTGCCAGGTATTTATTTATCACAGGTTCACTGCAGGAATTTCATAAACCCATAGCATATAGGGTAATATCTCTTAATACCCAATAAAGAAATAACATCCTTCAAAACAATGATAAATTAATCACACTATTGTTCCAGGCCAGGGAAGAAGAAGGAAATAAAGCCCAGATTTAGTTGAAGTGTACCTTTATACCAGTTGCTACTCAGGAGAGCTGGGTTAGCCAACCAACCGCTGATGTCTCCTGTTGCTAAAGCACGTTGCTAGGGAACGATGGTGGCCCTGTTGATGGGCAGGAAGATCTCCTTGGCCTGCTCCTGCTTCGGTTTTGCTACTGAATGGCTTTTGTCACTGAAGGTCAGAACTGTCTTTAGAGCAGCAGGAGTTAATTGCCCCAAGGTCAGAGCTATTGAGATTAGCAAAGAGAATCAGCTTGCTCAGATCACTCTCCGATAGTCCTTACAAACTCCCGGTATTTATAGTCTAAATGTGCACTTGCCATAGTTGCTTCTTGGTGTGTTTTTACTGATAAGCCCCCAGTGCAGCCCCTCAGCAGCTAAGCTCCCGAGTGCTTAAAAACAACAGTAGATGAGATGACAGTATCCTGTCACAGCTTATTTCATTCTTGATCAAAACAACTTTACTCTTAAAAACAATTTCCTTTTTGTTATAAACAAGTTGCTTTGAAAATCGTAACAAACTAAACACAACAACCGCATTCCTTCCTTCTTGAAGTATTTTCTTCATTTGGCTCCTCGAACACAAACGTCCCTTAGTCGTCTTCCTACCTCCGACTTCCGAACTCTGAGTGTTGGGTGACCCCAATCACCAAACTTCTGGTTCCCCACAACTTACTCTTGCAATTTCTCCAGCTCACTCAATAGCAACTCCATCCTTCCAGTTAGGCCCAAGTTGGGGGAGCCAACCTTCTCTTTCTTTCATACTCCATGTTCCATCTGTCACCACTCTTATTAGTCCTACCCTCAAGGTGAATACAAAATTAACAACCGCTCACCACCTCCACTACTACCACTCTGCACCGAAGCCCAATCATCTCCCCAGAGAATCATTTCAATAGTCTCCTAAATGAGCTCCCTCCTTCCTCCCTGCCCCACAGAGTCTATTCTCAACATTACCCTCTCTGAGTCCTTGTGTATGCATGTCCGCTAAATGCTTTTAAAAAACTGGTGACGTTGGTTGTTATTTTTTTATTTTTATTTATTTTATTATGTTAATCACCATACATTACATCATTAGTTTTTGATGTAGTGTTCCATGATTCATTGTTTGCGTATACTGTGTAGGACTGTTGAATCACAGACCTATACTTCTGAAACAAATAATACATTATATGTTAAAAAAAAAAAAAAAGAAGATGATGATGATGATTTAATGAAGACAGATGGTAGAGACAGACCCTGACCAGCTTTTTGGAGTAAGGGGATTCTTCAGCGCTTGAGATGTTAGGGAGGCTGTGATTTCACCATGGGATTGCTTTCACTCCGGAGCCCTCTATGGCTAGTCCCAAATTCTCCCAGTGCTTTTGTCTCTCCTAAATTCCTTTCCTTGTGCCTCGGTTAAAATGTACATAGACTGCCCACCTTGAAGTAGAGTTCTTTATTTCTTCCCCCAGTCAGACGCCGAGTCGCTCAAAGGGAAGATTTTCGGCCAATCCTGCAGAACCCTCCCCCTCCTGCAAAGGCACACCACCCTCCGCCTCTACCCTACCCAACTGCAATCCCGTTAAAAGTTTGACGGCGTTCAGTTGAGTGGAGATTAGCAAACAAGCGGAGATTAGGAAACAAACCAAACGCTCCGTCGGCCGGGGACGGTGCAATGCCTGGGGGGCAGCCACCAAGGCCAGGAAGGTGGAACACTTCTTTTCCACAGGGGTCTGGGAAAACCCGGTGAGGAAGCGGAGGAGGAGGGAGGGAGGGGAAGGAGTCTGAAGGGAAAGAGAAGGATCGGGAGGGAGGAGGAGGAAGAGGAGGAGGGAGGAGTGGAGGGAGGAGTGGGAGGGAGGAAGCGGAGGAGAGGATGCGGGGTGGGGGGGAGAAAGGAGGCGGAGGAGGGGGAGGAGCTTTAGGAGGCGGCCGCGCGGCCTGCTCCGACCTGCGGGAGCCGTGGCCGCATGGCTTCGGCGTCTTCTGCGGCCCGGAACCTGCTGCAGTTCCTGCGGCTGGTGGGGCAGCTCAAGGTGAGCGGGCGCCGGGCCGGGCCGTTTGGGGCCGGGCGGGCGGCGCGCGGGGAGAGGCGGGGGTGGCTGCGGCGCCCTGGAGCTCCAGCTCGCGGCGTCTGGGGCCTTCGCCCTCCGTCCCTCCCTCCGACCTCCCCGCCTCGCAGGGGTGGGCCCAGAAGCTCCCCAGGACGCGGGGGTGCGAATGCACGGTGGGCGGAGGAAGCGCGGTGGGGCTGTCGGGCCCACCCCAGCCTCGGTAGAGCCTGAACCGCCGAGAATCCTGTGTGGGGAGGCGAGCCTGGTGCGAGGCCGGGGGCCGGCCTGGGCAGCCATTCGCGCGGTTTCTGGAGAGCAGCCGGCGCGGTGATGTGTGGGACCCTCCGTGCTGGCCTGCTTCTGCCCTGAGTACGCATGGGGCTCACTCACAGCCCCTCTGCTGGGCCTCTGAGCGGCGGGCGGGAAGAGCAGAATCCGTCAGTCCGGCAGATTTTAAGTGGGGTGCTTTAGATCTGCCTCTTAGGTACTTCTAGAAATAACAAGACTTTTTTTTTTTTTAACAGAAGATTTTATATAGTGCACCCTGGAGTTGTATCCTGTGCGGCCTCCCTTTCCATTCTAGCCTCCTCTACCCATAATTGGTGATTTTGCAGAATTTCTACAAGTTAAAAGCAGATTATCTGTGTCCTGCTGCATTGCAACTGTTTATACAATTCTTTAGAAATGCAGACTCCTGGGGAAAAGATGCAGTCTCTCAAGATCACATCCTGATCTGAACAGAAGGCAGAATCATGACTGGTGGTAGCAGGAGCAACTAGAAATGCCTTCCTCCTTTCCGCTTCCAAATTGGGAAGTCTATCACTTGTTCAAGCTCAGAGCTTTCACCAGTGTTTTCTGCACGTGTTGAATGGGGTTGTTTGAAGGCAAAAAGTCCCAACTCTTGTAGTTAGGAAAAACACAATACTTTACAGTTTTATCTTTATGTCTAAAGGACTCGTATATGTTCCATAA